GAGATAAACCTCGACATCACCCTCTCTCTCTCATCCAACATCATAGCAGGCATTCTCAAAATATCTCTGTAAGGCTTTAGATTGGTACCCAGAAGTAGCTTTTCCATATAACTTACAAGCTCTGTTGTGGGGACTACACTATCCCTTCTTGGAGCTGCAAATGTAGAGTAAAACAATTATTAACTTCAAAATTCGATGAATAAATTTTATGCGGCAATCATCTCCTATGTATCGAGATACTTTCTAACTGCCTCAAAAGGCAGCTGATAAATAAATAAATAAATAAGCATCTGCTTGACTACACCTCCTAGTTATACAAGCGAGATCTTAAAATGATATTACACTGGAGATAATATTAGAATAAAAGCCAATGTCTAAACTAAATTAATACAGTATTATCATTATCCATCAAACACATTAGCAAACTTAGATTGCAAATAAAGAATTATTTCCACTCTAGAACCCAGAGAACATATTGCAGCCTGGTTCAATCGACTGTATCAAATAGTTCTCAAGAGTTCTAGATGCTTTCTTAGAAAATCACACATTTTAGGACCTTAAAACTAAGTCAATACTCACCTCAAAAAAAAGAAAAAAAAAAAGCACAAAGTTAAATGTTCTAAAGGACATACTAAGACTGACACCTTACTATGACATTATAAAAACCAAATTTTATCCCACAAAAAGCTTAAAATACCAGAATTAAAAGAAGAGAGAAAAAAAAAGTTTTGAGAACTTTACCTGAAGAAGAGAACCTCAGGCGTACAGGTTGGGGAAGCTTCAGATACCCTCCATTCTTTGCATTCGGATAGAGGTCTGATTTTCTGCTGGACTTTGATTGGTACTTTGTCAAAGCTAGCTGATCCAAATCTTTCTTCCATGAGAGCTGAAACGCTTTAAACTGAAGGAGCAAAATTTTCTCCCTAGCTCGCAAAAGCTCTACCCTATCTGCAAGTTTTTCTTTGACATGAGAATCGAACTGCATTTGACATATGCCAAAATATCTTGACTCATCAAACGAACAGTCTCTTGGAAGTAATTCATTGAATACTCCAGATGATTCACAGGCATATTTCTTATTGGAAGATAATAACTTAGCACAGAGGAGGTCTTCATTGGAGGCCATGCTATCATCAGCAAAAGAGAGCTCCACAGTTTCCTGATTGACAAAAGCAGGTGTGCTAATCTCTTTGGAAGAAGTAACAGCCTTCATAGACAGTTTGGGCAGTATATCTTCATTGCTTTCGACAGTGGCAAAAGACTGGGACAGAGACTTAACTTCTTGAGTATTATCTTCACAAACATCCACAGAAACCTTGGCTAAACTTGACTGATGAACAGGGGATCTCACCAGTGCTTCGGCTACAGGGGTAGCTGCTGCCTTAGGACCCAAAATACAAGAAGCTTCCTGCTCCTTGGGCACATCTGCATCACCCTCACAAAAGTATGAACTGGATCCAACATGGCAGTGTCTTCCACCTTCAAGCTTTAGCGTCCTATGTTTGTTTTCAAGGAGATCAATTTCCGATTCAGTCATTTCCACAGCTTTCAAAATTTCACTTTTCCAGGCAAGTAATCTGTTCATCGATGTCAATTGGACAGAACTGGAATCCCCTGTACCAGGCTCATCAGTACAAAGCAATTCATTGAGCAAACAGCCGAAACGCTCCATAGAGATGTTATCGAGCTCATCTATATTGACTGGAAATCGTTCAAGATGAATACTAGAAACGGGACTGGGTGAACGGCACATGTTGCTGACATCACTAGCAGCTATAGCAGCCTTCGCAGATGATTTATCTGCAAACCCTGCAGACACACACAACAAAAATATGAGTTACATTGTTCCCTACAGAATATAAGGAGTATAAAAAATATAAGTGGAACACATGGTAGAAAGAGAGAGGGAAAGCAGTTTTACAATAGCAGATACATAATGGAAGAACTTCAACTAATAGGATTATAATGCAGGTAACTCCAAATAAAACATAGAATAGCACACAGAGGGACATATTAACAAAATGTATACCTGGTGATGAACTGCAAGCTACAGAGGATGGAGTGGTAGGGGAACCATAATCTGGAAGAATGGCTGCTGTAGGACTTTTATCAGCAATATTCTTGTTCAAAGAATGCTGTTCATCCAAACCGTTTTCCAACAACGTCGTTCCATCTTCATTTGTGTTAACATCAACTTTCTTTTTCTCATATTTCGCCAGTCCCTCACCCCACCCAAGACGTTGTTTCTTTCTAGAACTCATCTCCTCAAACAGATGAGTAGTTGTGGCACAGGGGGTAGCATCACCTGAAGAAGACTGAGCCACAGTAGCAATTTTAGGAAGAACCTCAGTTTTCCGATCGGTGGAATCAACAGCCCCTACGCTTTTTAAGCTACTTGAATGACTAAAACCTGAACTCTGAGATGCAAAACTCCCAGAACTGTTCCACAATGGAAGTTTCCCAATTGCTCCCAGAGAACTCTCCTTTGCACATTTCCTGGCATCATCTAAATCAGTGATACCATGTAACTTATTATCTTCTTGTGGGTCTTTCATGTGAAGCTGTTCCCAAGTCCCCTCCAGATCTGCATTGAGGATTGGAGGATCTAATGAATTATCATTTGCTATTCTTCGACCATACATCAAATCATTGCATTGCTTTGCTGGAGAACAAATCTTATTGCCATAATTGTTCTCCGAAGAAGGTCGTTCAAACAATCTAACACAGTCAGAATGAGGATCTGAAGGAAGTGATAGCCTTTGATCTGAAAATTTCTGCTCATTTTTAAATTTGAGTGACCGTACTGGGGTACAGATCTCAGTGTCTGGCTGATGAGCGGAGTTGGTTGGATCCAAAGAGTTCACCATGGTAGTATGAGTATCAGAAGCATGTAGGGGTCTTTCATCAACTGATCTTCGGCCATTTCTAATTCCAAATGGCCTCTCAAAACTTCTGGAAGATCCGTTGCTCATATCCCATGTATTGCATTTCCATTCCTTCTGGCTTACAGAAGCTCTATCATCCCTACAGTTCCTGGTATATCTCCAGTCTCCACGTGATGCAGATGGCCTATAGTAGTCGTTTTCAAAAATCCGGGCACTGGATCGAGAAGATGTGTATCCATGACTACCCTCCTCCACAAACTGGTGCCGTCCACCCTGCTTACCGTGACCTTCAGGAAAAATATGACAAAAAAGGAATATGAGAAACACAAACTAAGGCAAGACCTATGTACATCCAAATACATAACTTGCAAAAAAAAAAAAAGGCATCTCTCCACAAATTTTGTCCTTTTACTGCTGGCAAAACATGTAGCATAAGATTCTCTAAAAGGCAGTTAAAACTCAGGATCATGGTTACAAGAAATCAAATTTAGGAGAAAAAAAATGCAACTAAGCTAACACAGGGGTTTCAAAACTAATAGAAAACATCATATACTTAAAAAACCGCAAGAGCATGACCTATCTTCATCCAAATCTATAACATGTAAAACTAAAACTAACAACAGTCCCGATGTTAGGCTCTTTAAAGATTCATTGAACAAAACACAAACACAAAATTGAAGCTACAAAGTCCTCTCGCTATCAAACTATATCTACCTGAGTATTGAAAATTGCTCCTTTCAAGAGCAACCTCATCAACTCACTTCCTGTCAATCCTCAGAGCTGTGATAATGCTCCAAAAAAACCCTAAACTATCATGAAACAGTAGGACCTCAATCTAGGGAACAAGGATTTGCCTCTAAATCAAAACCCAGAAAAACATAACTCGAAGGGTTATTAAAAAATAAAAATAGGAAAGTAAATATCTAAGGAATCCATAGAAATAGACTCAACCAAAAACGGAGCCGGCGGATTCAAAGCCCTAATTAGAGAGAAGAAAAAGAAAGAGAGGGTAGGGTAGGGGTCTTACAAGAAGGCCTGCGGAAGTCTCCAGATCCTCCCCACCGTGAAAACTCCCTGGGGACATGGTGAGAAGAAGGAGTAGTAGGCGAATCCCTCCATCTAAAAGGCGAATCAAAAGATTGCTCAGGCCTGTCGTGTTTCCTCTGCCTCAAGAGCTCTTTCCGATCCCACGATGCGTGATCCTGCGGCATCAAGTTATCCAGAAGAATCGCATAAGAGTAACCCTTGAACCCAACTCCAGAGTCCCGTCCCTTGCGACCGTAGAAAACCCAAAAAAAAACACAAAAACGAGATAAGGCCTCCTCCGGAATCAAAAAGAAGAGAGCTGCCGGGAAAACCAAATCAATGGAGGCTTCGCCGCTTCTGAAACGAAAATCAAAACAAGGAGAAGTAGGGTTCCGTCAATCTGAAGGTTGATATCCAAGTAAACCCAAAAAGGGCAGAAACAGAATCAAACCAAGGCGGAGGGGAACCTGTTAAGAGAGCCCGGAGCTGTTTGTAAAAACAACAACAACAACAACAACACTAGTGAGAGAGAGAGAGAGAAGGGAGATTTCACCGGTGAAGAAAAAGCTAAAAAAAGAGAAAAGAGGTTTCCTTTAATTTCGGGTTGAAGAAGAAAGTGGATTTATATGGCGATTTCTCTCTGTATTTTTTTTAGCTCCCCAAATAAACCAAAAGAGAATACAATTGAGAATGGGAGAGAGAGAGAGAGAGAGAGAGGAGATAGAGAGAAGAGAGAAGAAGCAGGAAAGAGAAAAAAATTATCCCTGTAACCTAAAGATGCCTATTAAACTCTATTTCATTTTCTTTTTGGCGTCCGCTCTTCTTTTTTTATTTATTATTAATTTAAAATATAATAATTGTAAATATGGCCCAAAAGTTTATAAAGAAAATGATTTTTTACTCTCTTATTTTTTTCTTCTCTCAATCTAATCCCATGACTTTGTCTACTATACGAAAGTAATAAATTAATATTAGTAAATAAATAGAACCAATCAGAAGAGAGATAATTATTATAATTAAAAAATTAAGAAACCTATCTTCATTGACTTGTGTTAGTTGATTTATTAAGCTAAAGAGAGAAGAGAGAGAGAGACGCCTTCCCACCGCAGGCTCTCTTCTCTTTCACATCAGTTTCATTAAATTTTTCCAGAACTTTCTTATAAGCTCGCAGATCTTTCTTTTGTGTCTTCTTGGTGGTCGTGAGATGGCGCATCATCAAGACAACTCGGATCATCATCGGTATACTTCTGTCTGTTTTTTTCTTTTCCCATTTCCAAATCAATCATCTTCGTTTGGACTTCATTTACAATCGAAATCACAGTTGGAAGCTGGTTTGATCTGTTACTAGGAGATGATGATAGCTCATCTTGGTTTTGGTGCATTGTTTAGGTCTATTGATTCAGACGCACAGGATTCTACTTCCATGACCATCGAATTTCTTCGTGCACGTTTACTTGCTGAGAGAGCTATTTCCAAGAGTGCTAGAGCTAAGCTTGATGGACTAGCTGATAAAGTTTGTTCCTTTTTCTTATCATCATATGCTACTTTGTGTTTTCCAGTGAAGTGTTTTGTTTTATTAGCTTATGTCTTGTATTAATCTTTAGGTAGCTGAGCTAGAGGAACAGCTTAAGATTGTATCTTTACAGAGAAAGAAGGCTGAACAGGCAACTGCTGATGTTCTTGCCATCCTGGAAGAAAATGGATTTACTGATGTCTCTGATGATTATGATTCCAGCTCTGATCATGAATGCCACTCTCAGACAAATTCAGGTAAGAGTTCTATTTGAGTGGAGCTAAGTTTCTGAAGTATATTGGATCTGATGGTTTATTATTACATCGAGCAACCCTCAGTTTTGGAGGTTTATTTCTTTTCTAGTTTTTGGCAAAACTTTATCCTGGAAAGGCCGCAGGAGGGAACTGTGTTCTTCTGACAAGATCAAGGAAAACCGGAATAGGAGACATCATAGAGGTTTCGAGTCTGCTTATTTTTCGTCACCAAGACACCGCCAAGGAAGATCTTGTCGGCAAATAAGGCGTAGTGAATCAAGGTCTGTTTTGTTATCTTTAGCTGTGCAGTGATGAGTCACTGTGTGCTTGCGAATCAGAAAACATATTGTGCGAGCATTTCCCAAAGCTACGTGCTTAGAAATTTGAGATTGAAGCTTTTCTATCTCGTCCTGCTATATACATGATAAATCAGCCTGATGAACCTATTAGTAAAGCTATTCTAAAACTTGCTTACATATGTTGTGTATTGAATACAACATTTTTGAACATTTTCAGAATTGTATCTGAAGATTGCAAGAGAGATGGAAATCCAGTTGATTTTCAAGAAAACGGAGTTCACACTGAAGTTCTTCCTCAAACGGGTGAAGAAGCATCCAAAACAGTGGTTGATGTTACTGCTGTGAAGGGAGACGAAAGTTTGAACAAGTTGTCAAATTCAAACGGTTTAGAGAAGGATCACAGTATGGACATCAACTTGGAGAGAGCGTTAGAAAACCGTGCCCAGGTTATTGGGTCTTTTGAAGGTATGGAAGAGACTCAAAGGGAATGGGAGACTCAAAGGGAATGGGAGACAAAGTTGAGAGAGAATAATAAATCATCTGCCCTGGTATGCCCTATGTCTCAGGTTTTGACCTCTTAAAATTGTTGGGTATCTTATATGTGAACTTGGCATCAGTTGTGATAATGGTATTTTTAAGCTTATATGAAATCAAACTTCAAAAGGTTTAATAGGGAATTCCAGAGTTATGTTATGTGAGGTTGGTAATTGTGCATTTGAGTCACTCGTTTTAGCATCCATCACAAAAATGCTTTAGACTACATTGATTGAACTTTCATATTTCCAATGTGTTAAAAAGTTATGGAATTTTTTGTTTTTTTTTCTTCATTGTATTTACTCTCTCATATAAGCATCTTCTTCCTGAAGACATTATCTTTTTTTTTATCTTTTTTTTTTTGTCATCCCTGAAGACATGATCTTTTGTTCAAAAATATGAAAAAGGTCCAATTGAATCTAGCCTCCGCTCATATATACATCATTTAAAGTTAGCAAACAGATCAAAAATTTCGATGAGATACATTAGAAATCCTGATCAATATTTCTTGTCCAATCTTGCAGGACTTATGTGATGTAGGAAACCATTCAGATGTGACAGATGAAAGTAACGGGGAAAAGGCCCAAGCTCAGCTTCAAGGTTCCATGGTAGTCCCTGCACTCCGTGATACAAGGTCTATAGCCAATGAAGTTGACTTTAGCGAATCGTCTGAAACTTTGTTGCATGGTTTGCCTGATAATTCAGTAACATCACCTGATAATTGTTGCAAAAGTTGCGGTTCCAGATCTCTGGAACAAGATGCTTCTCCTTCTGGAGACAAAGGAAAACATATTCCTGAGAGTCCTAAGAGTGAGGATTCCCATTCACAGAGATGTAGAGGTATCAGTGAGCACGCTTCATCAACTATTCAGTCACCACCTGTAACACAACCAAACTCGAAAGCTGGTTCTTTTTACAGTACTACCACTACCACCCAGAGAGTAGAGCATCCTTTAGTTCCACTGAAAGAGGAGAAGGCTGATACTTGTGAAACTGTACTCACCGCGCTAAAGCAAGCTAAGTTGTCTCTGCAAGAGAAAGTGAATAGTCTACATATCAGAAAACCTGATTGTCTCTCTGAAAGCTCGTATACTTCAACACCAGGTTCATATATGAACACAAACTCACTGCCGATAGAACCAGCTTTTAGTACTAGACCATCTCTCCCTGCTTCCAGTGTTGGGTCCATGGTAGAGTTTCCTGTTGCCTGTGCTGGACTTTTCCGTGTACCCACTGATTTTTCATCTGATGCTTCAAACAGGAACAATTCTCTAGCTTTGAGTTCTCAGAAAGCTATTGTTATGCATATTCCTGAGCGAGACATCGCCCTAGTACCTGGAGATCAGCTTTTCACCAAAACATCCACAAGAAATCTCCTAAATGGGGGTTTCCAAAGCCAATTAGAGACCCGTCCACCTTTTTCAGCAGATGACCGACTTTTGACCACCCCATACATCGGTGGACCAAAACTGTGGTCCAGCTTCAGAGCAGATGATCCACCGATAGTTGATGTTCCAGGATTCAGACTTTATAAAGGTACACCAAGAGTTTCAAGCAGTGCAACCTCTGGTGGAACATCTAGTTTTGAAGGGAACCAAGTATCCTCAACTAGCCTAAACTTGGATAAACGAGCAAGTACATATACTCCCGTGATTCCTAATCAAAGCTTGTATCCCGATTCAGTTCTAAGTAGTAGAGAATTGTATTCAACTCCTTATTACACACGCCCCATTGGGCGACCTCCTACCGGTGGTTCAGATGATGGCTTATATAGGCGAGTATGATTCTGCTGGATGCTTGCATGTGATCAAACCTGCATACCATTGTTGGTCTTTGTAGAGTGTTCTTGTATTAAACTGTTTGTATGACTTAGGCGGAAACATAGTCTAAACATTGTAAAGAATATGCAAAACTTGTGTATGTGATTGATAACTTTGTATCCATAGGACCTTGGCCGTTGTTATGTATGACCCGTTTGTGCGTTGTTATGCATAACTTTGTAAACCATAGGATCTTCGCCGTTGTTATGTATTGATTAAGTTTGAGCGTTTATTGAATAAATTTATGTTACTTATTTGAAAAGACAAGCGAATGTGGGTAACAGATGATGATCTGTTAGAAGTCGCTAACAATTATACTGCACAGCCACATCAATAGAACACAACACAAGAGAAAGAGATTTGTTAAGAAAAGTGAACATAAACCTTTTTTCTTTTTTTTTTCTTTGAGAGCGTAAGAGAATTATATTCCTCACAGAAGGAGATGAAATTCAAGACTCGAAAGTACGTACAATGGAAAATAAGAAATCTTCACCCTTAAGTTTTCGGTGTATTTTTGCTATACAGAACCAACATGGGATTTTCATCGTGTTCATGAAATATGACTAGTCTTCATGCTCATCAGAAGATTGATCATCATCATCTTCCCGTTGAGAAGGTTGATCCTCATCACCCGTCGATTCCTTCTTGTCACTTCGTTCGTTCCTCTCATTCCATCTCGCCCAGGCCCACTTGAGGACAAGAAACCCTCCAAGTGCATATACCTGAAATAGTTTAGAGAATATCCACTGATGAAACAACCATGAAAGAATTCAATTTTTTGCAGGATATCAGAACATATAAACATCTTGAGGCGCAGGCATCAAATCATGCTATCAAATGACAGCTATGATTGATACCAAACTTGCAATCCAATGTGAATACTGATCACACTGTTGAATAGTTAGGAAAGCAATTGAAAAGGAGCACATACCAAATAGCATGCTACTCCAATCTCCAATAACCCACACAAATAAGGCGTCATCCAACTAATCGTTAAAGGTCATCTAAAGCGTTCTAACACATGCAATAAGCAGAATTTAAGGAGCACAACAAAAACTGTAACCATTTTTAACAATCAATGCAGCAGACTACAACTGATTAAAACCAACGGAACATAGAAAACTGCAGAGCCACTTTTGCAAATCAAGATATCAACTCAAATATTTCCCTATTAGTAAAGAAAAAGCCAGAATAGTTTCAAGTAACAGGACGCGTTAATCTGAGTCACACCCAGAGTCATAATTAGAAACATCTGCCTTGAATCAGCCATGGTCCCTACCCTTTCACATTGTTCCCCTCATAAATAACATAATAAAGCACCTCTCACCAAACTCAGTTATAAATAAAAAGCCAAATTCAAATCACAATTCCATGATTTTCATCAAAGAAATCCCTGACAATACACATCTCATCAAAATCACCTGCCAAAGGATGACGGAGTTGGAAGTCCTGCCGGAGCTGGGCTCAACCTCAACCTTCAGGGGCTCTGCTGCGCTTTTGGGTGGATTGTAAGGGAAAGAGACAACCGAGTTCTGAGGTTCCTTCTCTCCGGAGACTGCCTTAGAACCACCATTTGCATCGGTAGTAGTAACAGGAGGCTTAGGTTTGAGAAAAGGGAACAAGTTGGAGATGAAAGGAGGTAACTTTAGGGGAGATGAATCGGAGCCATGGGAACGCTCTTGAGCTTCAGCCATTGTTTCTTGTTTCACCGTTTAGGGTTTGGAATCGGTGGATTAGGCTTTTGGATACAATTGTCTGGTGGTCACTTCTCTCCACTTCTCCTCCTTTGTATATGACACGTGTCGCACGTGTTGTCTTTTCAAGTTTTGTCTCTATTAACCCCTAATGGGCTTTTAGCCTTAAAGCCTGATCTTGGCCCATCATTGTTTTTTTTAAAAATCACCGTCTCCATTTTTTTTTTCGAAGTTTTTTCTCCGGAGTTGTTTAATCCGAACCAATCTGAGGTATTCGTAAACATCAAAAGTTCAGGCTTATTAGTTTCGGGAGGGCAAATCAAGTTTGTAACTTTGTGCGATTTCGATGTATCATCCGACGAGGGGTGGTGTTCGTGGTGGTCGAGATCGTAAGTTTTATTGTATTCGTTTCGGATTTTGCTTCTAATTATAAGATCTGATATACAAGTTTTCAACTTTTAGGGGTTCCTCTGTGTAATTCAACACTACTTCTTTGTTTCTCTTTCTTGTGATTTTGATTTTGGGGTTCTTTAATGAACAATTTAGTGTTGGAAGGTGTGGATTAGGTATAAGCATTTGTGGGAGAAGCTGGAAATTTTCATAAGAAGCTTTTGCTTTGTTGTAGTCAATCGTTTAGTCTCCTCATTATTGTATTTTGGTATTTTGGTATTTTGGTTTTAAATAAAGATGTAGAACATGAGCTGCTTATAATGATTTATGCATGATGATGATTGCATAACTAATTGAATTTGTATTTAAATGTGCAGAATTCAGTTGGGATGAAGTGAAGGCTGATAAATACAGGGAGAATTATTTGGGTCACAGTATCAAAGCCCCTGTTGGAAGATGGCAAAAAGGTACTCTTTTTTATGAAACTGTGGTTCTAATTTGTAAACGAAGTAGTCATCTTGACAGTATACTTGATTCTCCTTTGTGTTTCCTTGCTCTGTTCCATCTCATTGTAGTTTTCGGCAGATAATGGTTGTTTTACTTAAGTTACTCCTTTGATAATCTCTCTTCGCCTTTTTCCTGTGAGGAATCTGCATATATTTTATGATGTTTTTAGTTTTTACTATCTTTCTTGCTATTAGAATTCTGTAGATCAAGTGAATTTTAGAGAATTTGATTGACATTCATTCTCCATGTACAACAATTGAACAGGTAAAGATCTTCACTGGTATGCTAGGGACAAAAAAGGAAAGGGTTCGGATACGGATGCTATGAAAGAGGAGATCCAGAGAGTTAAGGAACAAGAGGAACAGGCCATGAGGGAGGCTCTTGGCTTGGCACCAAAGTCCTCTTCAAGACCACAAGGTAATCGCCTTGACAAGCAAGAGTTTACGGAACTTGTGAAGAGGGGTTCTACAGCAGAGGACTTGGGTGCAGGGAATGCTGATGCAGTGTGGGTTCACGGCCTTGGTTATGCAAAGTAAGTCTCTTTGTTTTTTGTCTGTGTGACTGACTGATCTCCACTCCTTATAGTCTGTTAATGTTTTTGGTGATTCATGCTTCATTGGTACTTGTTAGTCTACTTTCGTCCTTCTTCTCACGTTTCTTTGTGCAACCTTGTACAGAGCACCACGACCTTGGGAAGATCCCAGCACTCTTGCATCCTCTCAGAAAGAAGACGCAGAGCCAGCATGTTTGCCAGCAGAAACATTAGGTGTCAAAACTGTTGAAGATGGACCAGATGATGTTGAGAAGGACCAGAATAAAGATAGGCATGAAGAAAGGAAACCTGCAAAGAGAGATAAGGAAGAGAGACATGATAGGCGTGAAAAACGCGAAAGACATGAGAAGCGGCGCACTCGTGACTCAGATGAGAGAAAGAAGCACAAGAAAGAGAAGAAGGACAAAAGGAGGAGGCATGACTCTGATTCTGATTGAAGTTAATTGTGCCACGATGGATCCTTTTTCTCTGAAGATGAGTGGTCAGTTCTTGTTACTAAAATACTAGAATCCAGCTGTGATCTTGTGCAAGAGTTATATTTGTTGCTCATTTCGTGTTCAGATCATGGAGCAAGAAATGAAATCTATCAATGTGCAAGTGTTGTTGAATATCGATGAAAAATCATTTGGAAAACTGAATACATCTTTTTCTTAAATTCTGATTTTATATTGTAGCATAACTAGACACACGTGTTTGAGCTTATCTGTGTTATTGAAATACTACTTAACGTTACATGAGCGAAGCATTAGTTCATCTTCCTAAAGAAAACGAAATATCAAATTGCTTCAGTGAAACGTAAATCAGCAGGACCTGGTCCCAGTATTCCTTTCTGTTCACTAATCTTCCCTAGTCCTTGTGATGAATCTTCTGCAGACGCACTTGTGTCAGTGTTTACAGGCAACTCTTTCTGCAAAATCGTGAAAATTGATTTAAAGATGGACCAACAATAATATAATCCGAACAGGGGGCTGGAGTCTGGATATTGAAGCAACTGCAGAGTTACATAGATTTTATTGTTGGTATAGAATGAATTATGCAATGGAAAACTTGCCTCATCATGATTATTGGATACTTCAAAAGGTATAGGGGTCGTTAGAGGAGGTTCAAGATCTGGGTCAGGTTTCTGAAATATGAATGTTGCATAGAGCCCTGTTCAGAATAAGGATAAATAAGTGACTAAGAAAGTATCGATAACGGGAACTAGATAAGATAAGATGGCATAAGATGAAGACAAGGTTACCTAACAAATCTAATGCTCGTGGAAGAAGTTTTCCCCTAGGGTCAACTAAGTTCGGGCCAGCATTCATCAGCAAGCTTCCAATTTGGGCTCTAACAATAAGTGTTGAACAGAATCAGCAATGTACTACAACCTAAGAAAGAAGCCACAATAATATACAAAACCTCAAGATATGAGATCGAGAATCTGTAAGCATTGTAAGCCTTTCTAACCTGTTATCATCATAAAAATCTGTTAAACTTTGAATCTCAACATACTCCAGGCCAGCCTCCCTTGCTAACCTGAATAAAAAATAGAAGAGTGAATCGAATGATATGTACAGATCTGACAAACATCATTTGTAGCTCGACTACAAGCAATGTCGAGAGTGGGATTACAATAAAGATCTAATTATGTAACTGTAAGATTTAACAATATATGGGATCCCCAAGGTAAATAAGTGCACATTATTGATGTAGTAATGTCATATCATCCAAAGAGTGATATGCTTTGCTGAACATATAGGTGATATCATAGTGCAAGAGAACCCACCTGATTAAGCTTGGGAAGTGAACCAAGCAATGGTCTTCAGAAGCATTGTCACCAGAAAATTTCAGTTGATACCTCTTTCCAAACAGCGGAAATCTGAGAAGAAGGCAAAAAGTCCAAGTTCAGAAAAGGAATTATATGGCAAAATGAAAATTTCTCAGAAAAAGAAATGCTCACTTTTCTTCCTCCAATTCGAAAGTGATCATATAAGTTTCAGACCGAATATAGTTGGGAAAGACATTAGGCTTCGTACCGCTCCTGTTGTGGTATGCTTCGACATTTTTCTGGTACTTTGCCCTGTTTGACCAGAATGTTAAGGAGCGGAGTCCAACTGAACAAAATATATAGGCAGTCAAATGTTGAACTTGATGGACAAAATGGCACAAGATTCATTTGGAAAAGAGAGAATACCAAGGAAAAGGAAAAGAGTACAACAAGCATTCACATTAAGACACAATATTTAGGAAAACCTCATTACCATATCGTGGAGGAGTCAGGAGTAATACCGAAAAAATAACCCCCTGGTTTCAGTAAACATGCTACATTAGTTAAGAGTCTTCTCGCACTCTCCTCAGTTTCAAAGCATACCTAGAGAAAAGAAGATTCACTAAAGATTTTAAGACAGTCTCATCCTTGCAATGCTACATTCCATAGGCACAGAAAAAACAAACGACAAAATCTCAAACCTGCAAATGGCGCCAACAGGAAACTAAATCAGCTTGTCCCAATTTCGTCTGTAGCTGGATTCCAAGATCGTCCTGTAACACCAATGAAGCAAAAACTAAAAATTGAGCTCCAGATTACTTATAGATTTAGCGGATAGATATGGAAAAAAAAGAACAAAAAAAAACAAAGCAGGCCTAGCCTTGGAAGGATCAGCTTCAAAGAATTCCACATCGTAGTTCTTCCGCTGACTCTCCCAAGCTTCTCGTACAGAAGAAATCCCAGAAGACGATGTATCTATTTTCCCCAAAAAGAAAGAAACAGCAAACTCATCACTCTTCTCTAATGGGTAAATTAAAGTATATAACACTGAATATATAAGATGGTAATACCAATTCCGATGTAGTGACCAATTGGAGCAGCTTCCCACTTGTCGGTGTCATGAGCTTCGCCACAGTACAACTCGCAAACCTAAAAAAAAAACACAAGCAGAGATAGACATAAAAGGTTGAGACTTTGGAAAGGAAATGGAACTGAGAGGAAGAGGGACTGTTGGTTACAGTTGTATAAGGATGTGCGAAGATGTTAATTATGGCCGTCTTTGCCAAATCGAAGAGACGGTGATGACTCTGCTCCGATTTTGAAACCGGGAAGCCGCTCATTTCATTCTTCTCCGGCCGAAGTTTTTGAAAATTACAATTTTAGCAACCCATTTATACTCTTTTCTTTTCGTGTCCCAATATATACATCTGTGCTTCATGTTTTAAAATTTTTTTTGACATCCTAAACTCTTTGCAACACACATTACGGGAGATTCAATCTATAAACTCTCTGAAAATTCTTATTTGTCGGGATGTTTCATCTATTAACCTCACATTAGGCTACATGTAATATAGAATTTGGAATTTAAATCCTAGATTTTGGGTATAATTAAAGTTAGTGATCTGTTGATTTAAAGACTTGACTGATATTTCAATATTAGAAAAATTACAATGGTCCAAAAGAATATTTTAAAAATAAAATTTATGCTCAACTTTTGAACTGATGATAATGATATGAGAGGTAAAAGGACTTTTATCATTTTACCTGTTTTGTTATCGACAGCTGAAGTTATTTATTTTTCAGGAGACTGGATTAACAAAAATACCTCCGTAGGAAGAATTGTAAACCAAAAACAAATTTTTGGTAGTAAAAACCAAATAGAAAAGAAAAAAATGAAACATGTACTCAAAGCTTATCCTGTATACCAGCAGTTCTGGTTCTGGATGTGCACGTGGGTTCCAAAGTCCAAGGTTTATTATGTAGGAATCCAAGACTCATTTGATAAACAGTTGTATCTTCTCACAGAAGAAGTCTTCGAACATCCTCAAAGTTAGAACGCAATTCAGACATAAACGAAGCTGAAATGAAACCGATTTCAGAAAAGCAATGAGTAACAAAGACAAAACACAGTGGAATGATAGCAGTAGGAAGTAGGAACTACTGAATGTTGCATTACCTCCCACTTGTCCATCAAAGATCCGATGATCAGCGGATAGCGTTACATTCATCTTCGTTACTACCGAAGGCTTCTCAATTCCTGAAACAATAACAACAACTTGTCATACACTGATCAGAATGGTGTACCAACGTTGAATATCCAAATGGTTGTTACTATCTCACCGTCTATTCCCATAACCGGCTCAACCACTTTATTTCCTCTACCAACTGCTAGAATTCCAGCCTGCAAGACAATTAACAGTCCTGGAGTTTATTATCCAAAAACACATCTGCATCTCTATAGTGACTAAACTAAATCTTTCTACCATACAAATTCCAAACAGCAAAACTTAACCTTCAATCTGTAATTCAGGGAGCATTGAAAAAACTATTATTACCTGAGGGGGGTTAATTATTGCGCAGAAATGGTCCACAGGATACATTCCTAGATTTGAAATGCTGGAAAACAATAAAGTATGGTTTTCTTCTTAAGTAGGAAAAGTTTCACATAATTGATAATTCCAGACGATGCTTAATAACTTCAAATGTTGAATACCTGAATGTCCCTCCTTGAAACTCATGAGGAGCGAGCTTCCCAGATCGAGCCTTTTGTGCCAGCTCCTTAACCTGCACCAAAAATCAAAAGAATATAACTATTGATAAGCAGCACATGAAATACGGTAAGAACTGATCAAACAAGTGAGCCTCTACAGCCTGCCATATTGGTCAAACATCAGAGTGAATAAAATTACCTCTAAGGAAATAGCAGAAATAGATTTCTGGTCTGCATTCCTGATAATTGGAGTCATTAAGCCCTGAAACAGATGCCAAGATGATTAAGGATAAACTATTGACATAAATCAGAAAATTTAACACACAAGTGTACCTTCTCAGTTGCAACTGCAATTGATATGTCAACATCGTCACACATAACAATATCTCCTTTCTCAGCATCCCAGAATGCTGTCAGACATTGGGAAAGAGAACTTTAACCAAATGATTACCATCCACAAATCATTAATCAAACTCAAACTGAACGATATCTTACTCGTAAAGACTCAAACCGAGTCTAAAATGCATTATCAGGCATATTGAATATTACTGTATCACAATCTCAAAACATCTTCACTAATTAAAAAATTAAAGGAGGCAAAAGGCATTGCAAGTAAAATCCAACATGGGAGCTGAAGTTCCTTAAAGAAGACGAACTATGGTTTTAATCTACCTCATAATTAGGGATGGGAACAAACCAAGGTTAAGTTCTGTGTAATTGATTCATTTACGAGTAGAAAATAATTTCTCACCATTAGCTTGTCTTACATTCCTCAGTGTGACTGCCACTGCTTTGATAACTATGTCATTGACAGACACTTTAACACCATGGTTTTCTGTAGATCATGAAAGCACAGTTCACTCTGAGCCTCAAGTTGTTAATAGCTACCAGGATGTGTGATAAGAAGTAGTCTACAAACCTTGAAGTTCTTTTCTAAATGCAAGAAGAGGATCCAATACAACATCTGCAACGCACAAGCAAATTCTTAAACAGCAAATAAAATACACAAGAACAAAACGAAGGTTGTGAATCACCAACCTGATTGTAAATATAAATGGGGTATCTTCTGTTTTGATTCCAATAAACGTTTTGCTATAATCTGCCAAGTGGAAAAAGTCATAGGAAGAGAATATTTCATTATGATCGTAGCAGCAAAGATCAATGCAGAAAGTATGCTCCCCTTAAGGAAGAATGCTTCAACAG